CGGGCACCCTTCATAAATCTGCTGATTAGAGGATGCTGCCCAACCGTTGAGCCCTCAAAGCCCACATGACAAGCAGAAATAGCCGCCAGGTAGACCTTAATAGTGGAAGAAAAAGACCTGCCTTTATACATAAGGTCTTGTAAAAAACACAAAATATCAGGAGCTGAGCACTGATATGATGCGAGATGACGCCCATCTTACCACCCTTCAAACACCTGCCACTTACAGCCATATAAGGACCGAGTAGACACGGCCCTGGCATTCTGTATAGTAGCAACCACATGCGAGGGAAGCCCTAGCGTGTTTAAGTTTGTCCTCTCAGGGGCCAGGCCCAGAGAGCCACCCTGTCCGGGTGTGGGTGATAAATCTCCCCGTTCGCTTGAGATAATAGATCTGTGTGGAGGGGGAGGCACCATAGCTGGGTATATAACAGAGGAATTATCTGCCAGCCACGGTGCTTTGGGCCACCTGGGTGCTATCAGAATGAGAGACAGGCCCTTCTCTCTCACCCTGGCCAGTGTTGGAGTTATCAGGCACAGGGGAGGAAAAGCATACAGCAGCACTTTTGGCCATGGGTGGGCCAGTGTGTTGATCCCGAGGGGTGCGTCCACGTCCGTTAGTGAGAAGAACATAGGACAATGGCTGTTTTCGCGCGAATAGATCTACGGTTGCCTGTCCGAATCTCATCCATATCAAGTCCACTATCTGAGGGTAGAGCCGCCAATCTCCGTAGAGTGGATTCCCCTCGATAGAAGGTCCGCTCCTCTGTTCGGAATGCCTGGAACATGAGTCGCGCATAACGACAGGAAAAAACGCCTGCTCCACACTAAAAGCTTGTGAGCTAGAGCGTGAAGTTTCGATGAGCGCAAACCGCCCTAGCAATTGATATATGCCACCGCTGTGGTATTGTCGCAGCGTACGAGCACATGATGCCCCTGCAGGCGAGGCAGAAAATAATTCAGAGCTTTCCATATGGTCATAAGCTCTAAATAATTTATGTCACTGAACGTAGTCTGCTCGGCCACAAATCGTTCACCGTTCTGCCCTCCTGGGTGGCACCCCAGCCTGTTAGGGACGCATCTGTCGTCACGACTTCCCGCAACATCACCGTCCCCAAAGGGGTTCCCTGTGCGTAAAAGCCCGCGCTCCTCCAGAGCTGCCGTGCAGGCGCGCGTCACTGTTACAGAGCAGCAGAGATAGCGTAACGGGCTGAAATGTAGTGACAAAACCCATTTCATGAACGCCCTCATTCTCAGAAGTCCCAGAGGCAAAACCTGGATAGATGAAGCCATTATACCCTGCAGTCTGAGACGTGCGATATTGCACACAGTTCATTAGAGAGCGAACACGCTCTTGAGACGTGCTCGCATTGAGACTGAGCTCAGCTCCAAGCCCAGGAAAATCACACTCTGACTGGGCGTAAGGTTGCTTTTGTTCAAATTCACCCTGAACCCGAGAGATGTGATGTGAGTGAGCACACGACGGGTGTCCTGCAGTACTTTCACCTTAGATTCGGCTATGATGAGCCAATCGTCTATGTATGTCAAAATCCGCAGACCTGACATTATATGGGGAGCTCAGCCTGCCTTCACACACAGAGAAAAATCCTTGGGCTTAGGGCGAGCCCAAACGGGAGGACTGTGAATTCGTTACATATGCCGAAACGAAGAAACTTCCTGTGTGGTGGATAAATGCTTATGTGGAAAAAAAGCATTTTTCAGAGACCGTTGAAATGCGGGGCTTTTATTACAAACTGCCGTCTGTAGCCCTGCATTACAGCTCGCAGGCCGACTCGTAACTCGCGAGTGTCCCCACAAGAGCCGGGGAAGCGCTGGCATACTCGCGTGCGCCCAGTTGGCTCATTTGTGATGCAATGGCGCCCTCTAGTGGACAGACTAGGGGCGACATGCAGGGGTTCAGAGAGATGTTCTCTCCCTGAAACGAATTCATATGATTCGTTTGTTTTATTGTGTTTGTGTTTTTTTTTGTGTTGGGGAACACAGGAGTTGTGTGTGTCACCCATTCAGGAGCTGACAAAGACAGCCAGACTGTACGTGATTCGCGTGCATCCCCACAAAAACCGTAGAACTGCTTAGAGCTACTAGTTCAGCCGGTTCGCTAATTTGTAATGCAATGGCGCCATCTCGTGGGTAACAAAGGAGCGACATGTGGGGCTGTTAAGAGATGTTCTCTGTTATTAACGAAATCATGTGATCTATTTGATTATCTTTTTTTTTTTTTTTTTTTTTTTGGGGGTTGTAAAGCACTTTGAATTACCATTGTGTATGAAATGTGCTATAAAGCCTTTATTGAATTTGTGAGAGAAGTGTGAAGGGAGCTGTGTGGTGACACTGCTTGTGCACTTTTTCCTCACTGTATTCCCCTCTGAAAACGGGGAAACAAGCACTGGGCTACACCGGGAACAGTGCAGCCCGTGCCAACACTGAACCCCATGACTCCGCCGACAGATAACCTCCGTTGTTTAAACGGGGAAATACGAGGGCAGAACTGGTGTCCGGAGGGCTGGCCATCCGTGAACTTGACCTCAAAGCCACCTGTGGCCGTGCAACAATTCAGTGGGATTGGGTTTTTTTTTTTCGGCCGCACAGAGGGAATCTGGCACGGCGCAGGCTTCCTAGGAAGGCAAAGTTTAAAACCCTCGTCCTCCTTTTCCTTATTGTCGCAGCGCTGCTGTATTAGCGCGACGGCAGGCCCCAAGAGAGCCTGGTCAGGCTCGAACGGCGATTCTCTTTCAGGGAGAATGGAAAGATTAAGCTACAGTGCGTGCTCTCCGACCACCGAGAGAGCCATAGAGCGACCACTTGTTCGGACAGTTTGACGGGCATTACGGAGAACAAGGTGATTCACCGTGAGTAACTCCTCCCTGAGAACGCGGGTGATGGCGACCCTTTCTTTTGTTATCCCATGCCGACCAGCAGTTTGCTGGTAAGCAGATGGCAGGGAGGAGACGCTGAGGGCTCTTACCGCCAAAGCCGGGGCTTAATAAGCCTGATGAATGATCGCTGAAAAACAATCAATTTTGCCATGTGTTTAGCACATGCAGAGAAGACGGGGAGAAGCAGCTTTCTAGGGCCGGGGAAGGCTCCGAGAAGTCTCCAGTCGTACGAGTCCTTTTCCTGGTCCAACGCATTTGAAGTACTGGCCATTCGATATTGACGCGAGCGGTCGCTTGCTCACAGAACTCGAGGAGGACTGATTGGGGCAGAGCCACAGGATCATAAATCTGAAGGACTACGGATGACGGGATGGCCTCCTCGTCCTTCGAGCCGTAGAGACTGCATTTATCGTCCGCGTCCCCGGAGCCGGGCGGCCCGTCGATGAAATGCATTGATCGGCCCGGGTAAGTGAGGCTGCTCCACGGGAGGCCCCCGGGAGCGTACCGGTGTCGCCTTAATCCCATCCGAGTCAGACAAACAATGTTTTTAAAATGTCACCAGGAATTACCTAATTTTTTTTTTTGTTACTGCATGTTACTACTATGTTTCTTTTAAAATGCATTAATCTTGCCTTGAAAATCGCAATATGGCAATACAAATAAAGAAATATAATATATTGATACATGTATAAGTTAGAGTGGGAGTCAAGTCTATACACTTATTTAAGTGTGTGTGCAGTGTTTCCCCTGCCTAAAGTCAAGTTAATTTTGTTACATTTTATTTTCTATATAGCGCCAGATCACAACAGAAGTCATTTAAGGTTACCTTTCCTATAGAACAGGTTCTACCTTGTTCTTTTATTAAACAAACTAAATATCCTTATGTTATTTATCTTATTTACACGACGGCATGTCATTTCTGTTTCTACATGGACAACGTTCCGCCCTGATGCACACACAAACACACACACACACACACACACAGGTGAGCACACTCCCACCAGCGGACAGAGAGCGCGTCAGAACCACCTGAAATGGTGCACTGCACTGACAAAAGATGCACACTTTGTGGATAATTGTCATAATAAGAAATGTACCAATGTTTAGTTAAACAGGGCTTGAATTTCGGCGCGGGATTGTGCATGATTCCCACAGTTTACGCGCTTGTAATGCAGGACATTCCTGCTAATATTTCAGCGTGAAAGACACTCGGGACAGATGACGGAATGTATCACTTGCAAACATTCAAGTGCTCAATTCAGCACTTGCGCACTCTCTAGCCCCTTTCACACTGCTCGTTGATTCTGGAAAGTTTCCAGAAGAGTGCCCTCTGTGAGAACGCAAACACGTCCTAGGAATGGGGACCTAGTAACATTGCCGGGATCAGTCCCGGAACGAGCCCTGTGTGAACAAAAGCCAAGACCAATGCTGTAAAGGGTGTGTCGTAGTGATGATGAACGTTATCGTGTGACTCTTTTACCGGGTGTTTTGAAGGCAGATCAACGTTCACAATGGAAAAAAATGTGCAAACTGTAATGAAGCAGAGATCAGGGAGCTCCTCACTATCTGTGCTGAAGCTGAGATCGTTCGCCAGCTTAGTGAAACGATAATGTCCCGTGTCTTTACGGGATGTGTGTGAACGCACGCACCGATTCTGGAAAATCACTGCCAGTGTGAATGAACCAGAATCAAACGATCCCGGGACCCATTATCCATGAATTTTCTGAAATCTCTGTGTGAAAGAAGCTTGTGAGACCCCTTTAACGATAAATAATTGTCATATTGCACACCCCTACCTTGTGAAAGCGAACACAGTCAAAAGGAGAATGCAACTTTGTAACAATTTCAGTCCCTGTTTCAGAACGAAACAAGCAATCTGTAGGTCCGAAAGCACCCATAGTGCTGCTTAACTTATACGTTTTTTTTAGAGCCTGGAACAGAAGCCGGATCATTTCATAATTTCGACAATAAGGGATGATGCAATTTGATATTTAAATGACACAGTTGTTCATCTCGTTTTGTTGTTGTTGAAATGGGTCATGTGCAGTGGAAGTTAACCGTGAAGATAATGTTGTATTTCATCTTTTCTTCCCCCTTGAGTCAGATGGATGAGGAAGGCTCCAGCGCTACAGCGATGACCAAGACCTGGGGCTTCCGCCGGAGCACCATTGCTAGGCGGGAGTTCATGGAAGCCATTGACTCTGGGGACAGCAGCCCTCCCATCCAGCGCCGCAGGGGTCGCCCATCCAGGGGCCGGGGCCGAGGCCGAGGCAAGCGGGCTGATGAGAGCGGCGTGACCGCTGTAGCCTCTAAACGAGGTCGAGGGGGTCGAGGACATGTGCTGGTGCCTGAGCTCACAGTCGCAGATAAGCCAAGCAGTGAACATGAAGCTCGGGCAGATGCAGAAAGAGTGCAGTGTGTCGCTGCGGAGCTGAAATCAGGCGAGGATTGTGCCAGTGAAGGAGTCACATCAGATCGAGCCGAAGATAGCGATGATCTCAATCTCCAAGAGATTCGTCAGCGGGCTGTGGCTCGAAGGCTGCAAGAACTCAATCATGAAGATAATGTTGATATGAGAAGTGTAGAAGATAACGACCTAGGGGTGAGATTACTGATGAAACAGGAAGTGAACGTGTTTGATGGCACGGATATCACATCAAAAGAAGAAAAGGTGTGTTCTTCCACAGCCACAGGGGCAAGTGGGAATTCTGTGGCTGCAGCAGGAGCTCGGAAAGCCACTGGAGGTAGAAGGGCTAAAAGAGCAAAGAAAGACTGTGAGCTTGCAGATGAAGAGCATCAGGATGAAGAACAGGAGGAATTCTCAGAAAATAGCGAGGAAGACACTGAAAGGATGAATCAGGATACTGTCTGCTGCACATGTCAACAAGGACACAGTAACAGGTGAGCATCATGGGCCTGTTGATTTTGCAGTATGATCAGAAACTGTTACTCAGAAGGAACTAATTTAGTGTTTTTATGAGAGCCTGTGGTGTGATACGTGTGACATGAAAGTGCAGGTTTTAGTGACCTGGATTAGAGGTTCAGTATACAGCACTGCCATAGGCAATAGTCAATGTTAGGAATGATAAGCTTGACCAACCAGAATAAAGTAGAGCTGAGAGAGCAGAGAGCTGTGTAATAAATAAACATGATAAAGATGAACATAAAAGGGACAGATCCTCCAAAAAACCTTCATCGTCCAACCCTACTGTGGTTAATCATGATGCTGGCTCAACATTGTGATGTCTGTCAGCCATCGGCCCAGCCCTACACCACAGCCATATGACTCTTCATCAGACAGTGAACACGTATACTAAGGAGCCCTTAAATACTAGCAGAAATTACATCAAATGATAAACCACGACACACACACACACACACACAAAAACCCACAACAACTAAACACTCAGGCAACGATTACAAAGCTGAAATAAAAGTGAAAACACGAAATGCCAAGAACAAAGCACAACAATCTAACATACACACCTGTGGCCTGTTTTGAGTTGGCAAAACCTGACAAACCCAACCTGGTTTAGATCAGGATCAGCTGTTGCACAACACTCGCTATAAACATTCTCTGTCGACTCAGGTTTGATCCAGAGTCTGAGGCGCGTGCACCTGAAAGCGAGACACGTGCTGCAAACAGCCAATCACACGCAGCATGGAAAGCATCAGTTTGATGGACTTCTCGCAAGAATCAGCGCAATTCACTTCTCTGTTGAAGATGAAGAGATTATGAAAAAATACCATGAATAAAAAACACATTTGCAAGGCAGGAATAAACACTGCTGCAGTGAAAGTTTGAGAAGGCAGCTACTGACTATATCAAAGGCAAGTGAATCAACTGAATTTAAATCATTTATATTACAAGGAGCTCAAAAGAAAACAAGCTTCATCAGTTTGAAAAGCTTTATATACTGAACCTTGTATTTATATCTATTTAGTTATAGCCTATTAATTTAAATGATAAGTTTAATATTGTTAACTCATATCATTAATTATATGAATATATTATATGAATTATACATAATTATAATCTATAAACGGCATCATTAATGCAAAAATGACGATTATCAAACTCTTCATTAAGACCATTAGATGATAATGTGTAGTGTTGTCACGGTACCAACATTTCTGTATTCGGTACCAATACCAGTGAAAATCCACGGTTCTCGGTACCAAAGCAAAACACAAAAACAAATCAATGCCATTCTTTATACTTATTTAAAATTGTGTTTCAAGTTTTTCCACAAGTAATACAAGTATAAAAAAAAAAGTAAACAAGTTTCACCCGAAAGTTTTTGTCATAGTTCTGCTGCCACTGAAAAACATCTGTAAACTGTTTGTCTGTTTTAGGGTTTGCTGGTGTGTTTCAGGATCTTCCTCAGTCTGCAGCTGTAAAAGCAAAATATATTATACTTGCATATAAAGCAATGGGCTGAGTCTGACCAAATGCAACGTTAGATCACTGACACCAGCTAAAATATAACTTTTCAGTAAATAACAAACTTCAGCTTTTATAATAAATTTAGATAAGATTACAAATATTAAGTGTATATCAAATAGATGGAAACTGTATTAGTGTTGTCACGGTACCAAAATTTCAGTATTCGGTACCAATACCAGTGAAAATCCACGGTTCTCGGTACCAAAGCAAAACACAAAAACAAATCAATGCCATTCTTTATACTTATTTAAAATTGTGTTTCAAGTTTTTCCACAAGTAATACAAGTATAAAAAAAAAAGTAAACAAGTTTCACCCGAAAGTTTTTGTCATAGTTCTGCTGCCACTGAAAAACATCTGTAAACTGTTTGTCTGTTTTAGGGTTTGCTGGTGTGTTTCAGGATCTTCCTCAGTCTGCAGCTGTAAAAGCAAAATATATTATACTTGCATATAAAGCAATGGGCTGAGTCTGACCAAATGCAACATTAGATCATTGACACCAGCTAAAATACATCTTTCAGTAAATAACAAACCTCAGCTTTTATAATAAATTTAGATAGGATTACATCTATTTTAAGTCAAGTGTATATCAAATAGATGGAAACTGTAGTATTAAAAACACTTTACAATAAGATTCCATTTGTTAAATAACATGACCTATCACTTAAACAATAGTTATAGCAATTATTCCCCTTGGGGTTAATTTCAAAATTTACTAATACATAAAATTGAAAGTTCAATCTGTTAAAATTATTTAATGCACAATGAGCAAACATGAATGATCAAGTGTTTGTATTAACTAACATTAAAAAACATTAATGTTGTAAAAATATATTGTTCACTCACTGTAAGTGAGTCATGTTAATGAATGTTATCTTATTGTAAAGTCTATACAGGATAATACTTTGACTATACTTTCATTTAATTCAAACTGTGTACATATTTAATTTTAAAGGGCTTTTAAAACCTGCTAGAGTTATCCAGCCAAGAATAACAACTAACTAAGACTAAGTTAGCTTAAAAAAAGCCCAGAACTGCTTTTCTGACAGATATGACATACAGTAAACAATGTTAACCATTTGTACATTCTCTAACATGCATATTTTAGATTCACAATTCATTTAAAAGCATCTGGTGTGTAAAAATAGTAAATGCCATCATGTTTTTTTTTTACCCTAATAAAAGTTATAGGAGCATTAAATAGTTAATAAAGAAACTTCATTCTAATGCTCATTATATTAGCGTTAGCCGCGCTTTTGCTAACGATTAACTACGCTAACGGTGATGTTTATTTCAATTCGACATTCAAATTAAACTATGGAATAATATTCATAACAGAAGATCTAAATATGAAAAATTTAATTGAAACTTACCTGCTTGAACTCTTTCATTTGATCCAGGTCTTCAAAGTGTTTTGTTAGTTTGATGTGTTTCCTCGTTTTGAGGTCGCCATGTCTCAGTGCTTTTATGAAGAGAGCGCATCTGCGCACCTTTCGGATAGCGCATCAAGAACCGGGTTGGCCGGGTACTCGGTACCACCGGTACTTAAAAAACCTGGTACCGTAACGTTTTCATTTTTTTAGTACTGACTTGGTACCAAAGTACCGGGTCTTTTGACAACACTAATAATGTGATTAAAGTATAAATCCAATAGCCTTCACGTTTTAAAAGCAAACGGTTAATATCACCCCCTCTACGAGGTAATTTGACAGCTACAATGCCAGTGTATTGTATTGTAGTGTGGAAACTGAATGTTGTGCTACTGGACTTCTAGGGTCATGCCTCCTAATGGCACTTCGATGTTTGGCAATCTGCATTTTGGGTTGTCTGCTAGTTTTACCAACCTAACAAAGTCCACACGGGCAGTGCAGCATGTAAATAACATTAGAGGTCTTGCAAGAAATCGTTCCTCCGATCTTAAAAGATTTCCCTGTACAGGGATGCTTAAAAGTTTGTGTTTTGTAAGTAAAATTACATTGTTGACAACCTCCACACTTATAGTTACCTGAAGGAATATTAATAAAAAAATGTGTTGGCTGAGAGACAGATAAATCAGCCCTGACCAGCATGTTACGTAAGTTTGGAGGTCTCTTAAAGACAACCCAAGGTGGTTTAATGAAAGCGGTGAGAAAGCAGCAGTTTAAAACGCATCTGATTACAGTGATGTGGATGTTTGCACGAGCTCTGCAGTTCAGTACTCCAGTAAAGTCCAGTCACGTCACGTTTATTTATATAGCACTTTATGCAATAGATAGCCTTAAAGGCACAATATGTTCGATTTTCGTAATAAAATATCCAAAAACCACTTGCAAAGTGTCAATGACGTAATATCCGCGCTATCGGTTTCCGCTTGTAGAAACTATGGCAACACACGTGGATAAAAATGCTGCTGCAGTTAAACTAAATTCATTACAGCTGTCGCAAATAAAATGAAAATGAAATCAAAAGTGTTGACTGCAGCGTTAAATTTAGATCTGCTCAATGAATCTTTTTCCACGTTTTTACAGTGTTGCGCGTTATAAGCAATCACACACGAGTCTGTTGAGTTTATGAATGCAGGGGCCAATCAGAGGCGTTCAGATGAGTCATTGCAGAAGCACTGGAGTTTTGTTCAGTGCGCGCGCTCGCTGACTGAATTCTTTCATCATAAACAACAAAGTGCAGATGTACGTATGATGCAAGTAGGAGATTCATTCATCAAACACTGAATAGACAGCTTTATTGATTATAAGGGCTGAGCCTGGTTTCTCCCAAGGTTTTTTTCTCCATTTCTGTCACCGATGGAGTTTTGGTTCCTTTGGCTTGCTTAGTTGGGGACGCTTGACTGATTGCACAGACACTATTGAAGAGATCTGAACTGATGATGACATCACTGAATCGTCAATGAACTCACTTGACTTGATTCGTGCTAGACTGAAGTCAGTCATACTGTTCCTTGGCAATGTAACTTACTTAATCGTTCTTTGCTCTCTTTCTCTGTATAATTTATTCGCTGTTTGAATAACTTTGGAAGGTACGGGTAATAAAAAAAAATAATTCATTACATCTGTGAACATGATTCGGACATCTCTGGATGGTGAAAATCACATCTCCCATCACTCCACTCCTTCAGAGCGTCAAGCATCACCTTTGTTATTGTTTTGAAAATGCGACCTCTAGCGGCAAAAACTTACATATTGTGCCTTTAAATCAAGCAGCTTTACAGTAATAAACATGAAACACCAGAGTCAGTGAAGGATTACAACTTGATTTTCTGCTATATAGCAGCTCTCCAGTGTGGAGCTAGCTAATGATAAAATCTTTTTATTAGTGGGAAAAATATATATTATTTTATTAAAGTGATAGTTTGGTTTGCAGAGCTTGATCTAGATCAGGACTGTTTTGAAACTGTTTTCAGCTTGTTTATTTTCATATAAAAATACAGCATGCAGTTGCATCAAACAATGGTATAAACATCATTCAATGTAAATTGTGATAATCGTAATTAATAATCGCAATAACAATTTCAAGGGAATGATCGACAATTATGATTTTTGTCATAATCGTGCAGCCCTAGGTTTAAGGTTCAAAAAACAAATTTTCCACATAATGTACATTATTGTTGCTCTTACAAAGCTCATCGGTCTGAAAAGCGAGGTGTGCTCTGATTGGCCAGCTATCCAGTGCGTTGTGATTGGCCGAATACCTCAAGCGTGAGACGGAAATGTTACGCCCCTCACCATACTGTGATGCCCTGTCCGGCCGGAGCGACGAGACAAATGATTTTATGAAATCAATTTGAACAAGATTACATTATCTAAACAAACAAAAAAGTGTTTTTTTCAGCTTGTTGATGTTTATACAGACTCAAAGACTCATCTCCTGAGCCACTGCACGTTCTCTCTTCCATGATCGCTGCTCTGACTCAGAGGTAATAATATTTTATTTCATTTTCATTTAATTTCAGCTACATTACATGGCCAAAACACACATTAGACGGCAATCGGAAGTTATTGCAAACACTCGATGGTGGTTTAAAGTGAGTTTTGAGTAAAAGGGGAATATAAATATTATTTATTGTCTGATGTAGCATGATGCTACAGTGTGCATGAATGGCCACATAACACGCGCTTTCGGTCGTGTAACGATAGTATGAACGGACATCTGCATATGATCGGAACTCCATGCAGCTCCCGCGCTACTCTCCATTGGAAATGAATGACTCCTGTGTCG